GTAGTTTTCATAATAATTGGGAAACATCAATAAAAGACACGGCGCTCATTGTTACTATTACATTATTTTAAACCGTTACGCTTTATGGTGTCTACCAGAAATATAATTGCTCCAATATAAAAAGGACAACAGATTATTATTGTTGAATTTTTAATCTAGTCGGTGTGTAAGAAAATCCATTTTTGATTTCTCGTGTAGTTTTTTTTTATAATTTAATGAATTTCTTACTTAAATATTTATTTAGTAATTACTCTGTGGATAAAATTGTTAGACTAAACAGAAATTCTTGAAAATTTAACATGAAGTCATATTATTATAAGTCATAAATAGTGGTCAAAAAGAAAAAATGAGTTTAATGTAGTATTTTTTTTTCGACAAAAATTGTAACCAATTACAGCCTTTAAAAAAAGGGAGGTATAATCGAACTTCACGCCGAAATCGTTTTTCTTTAGGAATGGTTTATCGTTGGTTGCTGTTATAAATTAAATAACTTTATATTTTATCTTATCTTCCCGACATTTTTTTTTATAATTCTGAATAAAATAATCGTTAAAACCTGAAATTTTCACAGAATGTTATTACATTAGTCCGTTAAAGACGCAGTAAAACGTTCTCGCTATTTCGAGCTATTCATAGATATTCGACATTTTTAAATATTTTTGTTTTTATTTGGTCCTTATGTGGGTGATAAAACAATTTTAACTGAGTAAAATTGAACATTTCATCCGAAATTCATCATATGTTGTACTTATTGAACAAAAAAAGAAAAAATTAACGGAATATAGTAATTTTTATAGTAGATAAGACTATCTTACTGAACTAAGATTTTTTTCAACCTTTTTTACAAAATGCTTGTAAATAAAAAAATTGATAAAAAGTCACCTAAAATACACTTTATTAACTTCATTATAGCGCATCGCATAAAAAAAATAATAACATAATAATTACGGATAAATATTATTTTCAAATATGCACGGTTAAAATGTAAAAGCTCGTGTTTTATAGAAGCATAAAGAATTATTGTTTATTTCCTCCGCTAACCCATACCCAATTTGGCTGTAAGCTCTAATGGTAATAATAAATTCGGGCACCGTACAGCGAGTAATTCTCGTCTCGAATAACAACGGGGATGTATAGTTTTGTTTAATTATTAAGGACAACATCCGTAGGACGAGAGGTTATTGTAAATGTTACCGGCCAGCATGTCAAGGAAATTAACACATAATAAAATAATACAATTCTATATACATAAAATTCAAAAATATTACGGGCACTAAAAAAGATAATAACACTTTTGTAGGTGCGTAAAAATAATACACAACATATTTTTATTAATGTCATATTGAATAGTTATTAACAACATTTGCAATACTATTAACCGGTGTTAAATAAATCGCATGTAATAATTGAAAATAAAAAGGTATATTTCATTAGTTGGAAGATACATTACAATAATCTGTATCGAGGTTTCAACGATCCACAACTTCGGAAGGCCTAAAATCGGAAATTCCCCGAGGTATTCTCGATACATCGCAAACATAAATGTTATTTGTAATACTGAAAATACCAACCGAATGAAACGGTTTTTCGGTTTTTTTTTTCTGTGACAATATAATACTAATATTGTGTACGTTTTCTCATTTATTTCGTTGTTGGGGACTTTATATAAAACCTACCTTTACATATTATACATTTAATTATATAGATACATACGAGTCTGCATCGTGTTTTGCATATTTAATGGGATTTCTCGGGTAGCCATTTTGAGTTTCTTCGAAAATCCAAATTTATAACACGCAGAATTTAACGACAAGTTTGATTTTGCTTTGATTCTGGGTTCAGCGGGAAAGTATTGTGTGCTCGTATTTACTATAATGTATGATATGTAAATTTCTTTCTATCTGTAAATAACTTTTCTATCGTAAATTTTACTCAAATAAAAAGAATTACAAGAGAGCATTTTATTGTATCTAATCAGTGCATTGAGGAGGTCACATTTTTGATTTTCCAAGTAGTTTTAATAGATAGGTTTTCATAAAAATTGGGAAAAACGAAAAGCTAAACGTACAAATATTTACGTCGTAACGATGACTTTGTGATTTGACATTTTAATAACTTATGATTTCTTCTAGAAATCTTGCTGAAAAAATGATAATTTTTATTCAATTTTAGATTTAGTTTTTCACAAAGAAAATCGTTTTTTGGATTTTCCAAATAGTTTTCAGAATAAATGGTAAAATTCGGAAAATTGTTATACTAAAATAATGGTTTCGTTGTTTTCTATTTTAGTCTTTTGGTTGTAATTCGGCAGAAAATAATATTGTTTGGACTTGACATTTTCCCAGAATACTTATCATGCTATAAACGCTATTTTCTAAATGCGGTAAAATTATCAAAAACTAATATTTTTTTTAAGTTTCGTTATTTTTTTTTTGGTGTTAAACGTTAAATCTAATTAATACTGATACACAATGCGGTTTATTTAAAAGCCAACATCCCGAACTTAGGAATATTTTAAACGCTAATAAATGACTCAATTCGCGTTGGCTTTACTTATACTACAATATTATAATAATACTACGCATAAAGATAACTATAACGTTTATTTTCGTTATTTTTCGCCGAATTTTACGTAGCTAATAATTATTATTTCACATAAACTCGCTAAGTTCAGCATCTACGTAAACTCGACGTAAACCGCGTAAACACCGAAGAACCACATCAAAGGCATTTCGTTTACTCGAGTATAATGCAAGTTGATTTACTACATACACTTATATACATTATACATACATATACGTATACACTAAAACTACTGGACACGCACCCCTTTTATAAATAAAAGATATGAAATTTTTAAAATATTGGTATTTATTTCTGAACCTAGAGGTATTAATCGAATTATACATATATAAATTAAAAACAATACGAATCTGTTAAAATTTCATTTAGATATATTTAATAAAACATATTTCCTATCTGAATATTTCAATTAAATTTGTACATTATATATAGGTACCAAAAAACGATAAATTGTATGTGTATGAAACGCACATCTTTTCCATGAGCCTTATAGACTTTAGTACGTTCCGTCTAAAACTTCTCAATTTATCTGTGTCTTAATTCAGGAAATCCCCAAGTCTTGCCGATTCGTCAACCACTTTGCTCATATATTCTGCTTTATACTTACCTAATTTAAAAATCGTTATCAAGACTTATCACCCTCTAAAACAATAGGTCGTTTCCCGTATACATTTTTACAGTCATCACTTTTTTTTTCGGTTTTTCGGTAGTTCTTCTAAAGTAGGTTTTTTAAATATAGTGTAATATTTTAATTTAATGACAAGGTTGACGAAAAAAACCCTAGGCCCTATGAACCTAAGCACGTGGCATTTTATGAAATGTATTAATATCTGATTTAAGTATAAGAAATGCCACTATAAACTAAAAACTATATTCATGTTTTAAATTCTGATCTAATCAAATAATATATTAATTTTACTATGGTACGTTTGTATCTATCTATTAATTTCTGGATTATCGTATAAATACAACTAATAATATTAAAATATTCGAGTATATTTAGAATTTTTTTTCATTAGCTACGGTTTACCTTTGTGTACAGATAAATTAAATTACGCAATATTATCCAACCAACAAACATCCATCTTAAAATAGTGGCACATCCTTAAGCATTATCGGTCATTTTTAAAATATGTATTTAAATAAATCTGTTTTTTTTTATTAAATTTACGTTTAATTTAGAATACTTAAATTTTTCTATGAATCTCGGTAATACTTATTGGCCTAACCAACCCATTTTTTTTAAACTTATCAGTCTCATCAAATTTCAAATTTAAGTTTGCCTTTCCTTTTATAATATTATACTGAAATGCTCTATCCTTTGATAAAATTCGTTAATAACAAAGAACGAAACTTTTTCAAAACTATCGATTTAAATGGTTTTTTGTTACACGTTAACTTGGCGAGGTAAAATATAATAATAATAATAAAGAATGTTTAATAAAAGCAGCGTGTATCTTAATCTGACGTTATATTTCCGGAATTAATAGTTTTCTTTAATAATTTTTTATTATCTATTGATTGTGGTGCGGTTCTTTTTTTAAAATTATTTTTCGATTATTGTCTCTATATATATAGACCAGATATACTGGGAAATATCAGTTCTCTCGGTAGGAGAAGAAACAAGGCTTCTCAGGTCGTCATCAAACGAATTCCTTTGTAAAATATTGGAATGTGGAATGTGAGATAGATCTATGTTAAATGCTGGGAATTTGGAAAATATTAAAATTGAGATGGCAAGATTGGACGTAGATATACCAGGTGTGAATGAAATACGGGGGTCAGGAAATAAAGACTTCTGATCCGATTATTACCGTGTTATTCATTCTGGAGGAGAAAAATCAGGAAGAAATAGAGTTGGAGTGATATTAAAAAATAAATGGAGCCAACGGTTGATAAATAAGATAGCTTATAATGACAGGCTTGTAATGATGAAATTAAAAGCTAAACACAGTAATATTGTTATGATTCAAGTATACTTCCCTAAAACAGAAGCAGATGACATTGAAATAAAAGAAATGTACGCTGAACTCGAGGAACTATGTAAATTAGTGAAAGGAAGTGACATCTTAATAATGGATGATGGAAGAGAAATAGGAGGCTACAGTTGGAGTACTAGAAAAATAAAAGTAGACCGATTTGTAAATTTCTGTAAACAATATGACATATTTATAGCAGAGATATACCAAAACATTCATCACAGAAAAAGATACACGTGAAAAATGATAGGAGACATTAGGGGAAACCAAATCGACTATATTCTGGTAAGAAAACGCTTCAGAAATCAAGTCCATAAATGTGAAACATATCTAGGCGCCGATGTAGATAGTAACTACAATCTCTTAATGAGGAAAAGTAGTGTAAAATTTAAAAAACTTAAAAAACCTTCGGCAAATTAAATAATATGCAACGTAATTATGTTGAAAGACTATAATACAACATTAGTCTATGAATCCTGCATCAACAAGACGATAAAAACACTTTCACAAGATTACTCAATAAATAAAATATGGGAATCAATTAAAGAATCTACACGTAATGCAGCTTATAAAACCTTGAGAAAAATACAATGGTACCAAAAAATGAGAAAACATAAACAACTTAAAAATAAAATAAACAGAGATACAAAAGAAGCAAGGGGAAAATTGCTTGAAGATAGATGTAAGAAAGTAGAGTTAATAAATCTTTTATAAATAAAAGGAATCAAAATGGATCAGGCGTTCAACACAATAAAGACATTTTTCAGTAGAAAGAAAAAAAGCTAACACTAAAATAAGATGCATAAATGGAAATCTACTATTAGACAACGAAGACGTTGTTTGTAGATGGTCACAATATATTGAAATCCTATACCAGGGCAACGAAATAAAATGTCCAAATAATACAAATAACCCAGATATAAAAAGTGCGACAATTCTAAGGGAATAATTCAATCAAGTTCTTAAGACAATGAAAACTAGAAAAGTTGGAACTTTTTCCTTTTTTAAAGGAACTAAAAAGGCGATCTTGAGCTTAAGATTATTAATTAAAAAGCAATTAGAATTTAACAAAGATATTTTCATCGCATTTATTGGCTTAGAAAAGGCATTTGACACAGCTCTCTGGGCAGATTTGTTTAAAACCTTAAAGGAAGTAGACGTTGATTATAAAGATATACGGATAATAAGCCACATTTATAAAGAAAAATCAGCAATAATCCCAGTGTTAGACAAATCTGAAACCGCTAAAACAAGAAAAGGTGTAAGGCAAGAACGCTCACTGTCACCAATATTATTCATTATTTATATAGGACAATATATCAACGAAATTAAAGAAACACAAAATTGGTTTGATAATAGAAGGAGAATTGATTTCTAAGATTCTCCGATGACAACAATCTTCTCGCTAATAGCGACAATGACCTGTAGAGAGCTTTGGAAGAAATAGCAAGATGTTTCCAAAATCACCACCTAAAATTTAACTGGATCAAAACCAACATAATGATGTGTCAAAAAAAAACCGTATTCATATTGTAAGAATTATAGTTAGCAATTTCAGTATCGAACAAGTGGAAAGCTTCAAATATCTAGGTAATAAAATTAGCCAAGTAAGGAAATGTACCATCAAAGTGTGATCAAGCAAAAATAGCATTTACGAATTAAAGAAAGATATTTTGTTTTAAAAACATGATCACAAGTGTAAAGAAACGGCTTATAAGAATATATGTGTAGAGCTTCACATTATACGGTTGTGAAACCTGGGTACGGAACAAAGCGATACAAAAGTTCCTCGAAAGTTTCGAGATGTAGTGCTGGAAAAGCACCACATCTCGAATGTTACGAGTAAGCTGGACAAGGAGAAAAACAAATGAAAGAGTACTATAGGAAATTTATGAAACTAGGAAATTACTTAACACTATCAAAGAAAGAAAATGGAATATATCTTGAGACACGGAAATGAGCTTCTATATTCTATAATAGAAGGGAAGATAGATGGAAAAAGTGATAGGAGGGCGACCAAGAACATCTAACATAAAAAAAATGATATCCGATGCAGGTCTAACAAATTACAAGGACTTGTAGAGGCTTTCTGGTGACGGAGATGGGTGGAAAAACCACAGAAAACTGCAAAACCAACCTCAGGATTGAAAATTAAAAAAAATTCAAGGAAAAACTATCCAAAAGTTTCTAGTCACGAGCTTAATTCGAAATAAAATCGTTTTGAATTTATTAAATATCGTGACCCATATGGCGTGGTTGAATAGATTTTTTTTCGATATTCTTAGTATTTTTGAAGATATATTGTACGACGAAATTCCACGAAGAAAAATAAATAATAATAATAAATTATTTTACTGAAATTTTTAATTTGGGGTATTTAAAACAATATATTGCCTTATTTACTGCCATTTTCCATTTTTAAACGTATAAGTTATCCAAATTTAATACATCTTATAAAAATATAATATAAATAAACAACCACGACCACAAAATTTTTTTCTTGTTGTTGCTATTGTTGATAAAATTATTAAATCAAGCAATCTATTGGTCTTACTATAATATTTAGTATTTATTATTATTTTTTGTCTGTAAACAATTTTTTTAACCTACATACATTTTGTTTTGATATATTGAATATACCACCTTTTATGAAAGACAATTTTATTTTGTTGGTCATTTTTTGATTTTTCAAGAGATTTTCATAATAATTGGGAAAACCGAAAAACGATGTAAAATGAAAACTGAAAAATGTATGGTGTTATGATTCATATTTTTAATTTTTACGGTTCGTATTTTCTACCATAAATATTGCTCCAATCGAAAAAAAAAGACAAAGACTTCATTTGTTAAATATTAAATTTTGTTGGTAGGTAAGAATGTTTTTATAAGGTTCTATGCAGTTTTCTTAACAATTGAGAAAACCTGGAAAAATCTGTATAGAAAAAACGGGAAAGTTTACAAAAATAGTTTCATTATTATAAATTGTATTGTTATTCAGTTAAAGTTATTAGTAGAACCTTACAATTTTGTTTGAAAACTTCTATTTGGCTTTTATAGATGTGGTAATATTTTGAAAACATTTTGGTGTTTTTTGAGCTGTTTATAAGCATTTTATGTTTTCGAGTTTTTATCAAGTTTATATTTGGTAATACTATGTGGATATAATTGTTTGACTGAACGAAATTGCTTGACAATTTAACAGGTTTATCATATTAAGTTGAACATGGTGGTAAAAAAAAAGTGTAATGATGTAATTTTTTTTTTTTATCATCATTTTAGCTTCAAATTTTAATGGAAATAGTAAAATTACGGCTTTTCAATTCATGTGTACAAAAATATTTGATAGTTTATCGTTGATCACCGATATAAATTAAATTACTTTATGTATCCTACCTTCCTAACTTCCCACCTACAACCAGCAGTGTACTCATCAGCAGTATCCTTTTTTTTTTATTTTTCTTTTGTTAACGTTTTTATGATATTATAATTAATTTTATACAAATTAGTTCAAATGACTATAATTGGTTTTAGATTTTTATCATTTTTTTTTGTTTTTCTTTTTAACGTATACGGTTCGAAAGTTTCATTCAAAGTTTTACTCGTATGTATTACCAACATGATTATCGTTCAAAACCGTTTGCATTTATAATTTTGTTTTGTTTTTATTCTATAGCACTTGGAATCTCTATAAAACAAACAAGCCATAAATTAATAACAACACTAGGTTTATTGTGTTTATTCATAAGAGTAGCTCGTGTACTCGTATGAGCTATATTATTATAATCATTAATAATATATATGTGATCCAAGGAAGAAAGGGCTCAAGTAGATTTTGTATAGTTATTTAGATACGAGCAAATTATATCTTGAAAGTACATGCATTTGTGCATACACTAATACACTACATATTATACTGATTTTGAATACACGTATGTTATTTATACAAAAAATAAATTAAACGAAATAAAATCAGATGAAATTTTAAAAAGAAGATTCTAAAAATGTTCTTAAAATAAGTTCTTCTTCCGTAGAACCAAAGGTATAATTTATAGGTTACTTTACAATATTTACATCAAACATTTCTGTTTTGCAAGCCTGCATCTTTTAAATTACCTAGATCCTCTTCGAGAATGCCAATACACCTTACCACGTATCTCTTCACCCGAGGCATATATGTAGACACAGCTCAAAAATTATCAGTTTATTACCATTTTTTTACTATGCATTTTACTGCATTTGCACTGTTTTAATTCGTATTCTTTAATAAAATCGGTTACTTGCGCACCAAATCTATATATGTATAATATAAAAATATCTCCCATTGTGTGCAGATATTAAAATTGAATTGAGAAGAAATTGACAAGACACCTAAACGATACATGTGCTAAAATGCCTTATTGATTTCGCGCCGTTATCGACTTTACGCGCGAAATGGGCTGCAGGTAGTAACAATCTATCAATCAATCAATTTCACCACAACAAACTTTTGACCTAACTCAAATGAATAATAATATTCGCATGTTTTGCGTTTCTCGTTACTGCCACCGTCGCCGCTGTTGCAGCGAAATTACGAATTATCCGTGAAAAGTTTGTAAAAGCGATTATATTTCCGTATAATACTTTGTCTATCTCAGGAAATTGAAACAGTCTAAAGGCGACAGTGACAACGAAATGGGAAAAAAATGTTACAGATATAATATCGACAAAATCGTCGATTTGATTAAAACCTCGCCTAAATATTATATTTTTATTTTGTATCGGAAAATAAAAAATTTAAAAATAAAAAAAGCTGACGAATTCGATAACGACTTGATTGTATACAAATATTATTATTATTTTATTTTTTTTATTATTTTACCGAGGCTTACAGTTTTTACTTTGCTATATTATATATTTGAAGACTGAAACTTTAATTTATAATATATAACACACAAAAAGTATAATAATATAATCCGTGAAAAACCTTTCCGTTTCGCAAACCATACGGGATTCGCGCAGAATTCGTAAATTAAGTTTTAACATTTCACCAAACGCGTATATTCAAAAATGACATTTAGAAAACTTTGAATGTATTTCGGATTTGTGAAAGTTTCCGATGCGTGTCTTTTTAAGTAAATTTGACTAAAACTTTCATCACTGAATTGAACACCGCTGTCTCCGCGTAAAAGAGTATATAATAATATGAACGACGTGGATTTTAGAAAATGTTACAAGCAGTAATAGGTTTAAAAGAACTTGTCGACAAGTTGACAAATATCTGTATTATTATTTTTTTTTTCGTTTTCGGTGGGTGTTTTCTCTCGATTGACTATTTTTCTTTTTGAAATATTTCTATATGCGGAATAAAGTGTAGGTAAATGTTTACACGTTATAAATTTGTTTACGTTTAACCGACGCTTGTATAATATGTTTGTGTTGTCCGTAAGTCTGCAGTAATGAAATCGACTTTTTTACCGCCCGGCAGCAGGTGAAACCGTACGATACAATAATATAATATAATATTAGGTGTAAGTATCGTTTTGCATGTTGAATTTACAAAAAAAAAAAAAATGAAATAATAAACCTGTTCAATGAATCTATTGACTAGTGGAATACACTTTGTGGCCTAACGAACAAATTAAACAACATCTGATAAACGAAATCCCATATTATTTGTGATAAAAAAACCAACGATTTTTTTTAAATCTTTAATTAAATCTTTTAATTTATCCCTTATCAACGTATTGTATCTTTTATCGCTTAACTATTATTATTTCACTTTTCTCTAAATGAATTGAAAAGAATTGAAATTGAAAGTAGTAGTTATTGTGTCAATTATTTCTCATATTTTACTGTTCATATTTACTTATCTTTCTTTCTCTCTCCCTCTCTTCCTCCTTTAATTATATGGTTATGCTCTAATAATTTTTACCGCCATTTTACTTCATTGCCTATCTATTTCAAACAAACTTCTACAATTTTTTTTCCAAACTCACAGGCTTTCCACTGCCTCTTTCACCACGCTAATCAATTTTTCTGTGATTCTTCTTCCCTTAATTTTGTACTCTTACCTAACCACACTAACCGTCTCGTCTTCTTATTATGTGACGTTACCATTGAAATCTATTTCGGCCTCTAATATATTATATAAAATTATACATTAAAAATAAACGAAAAAATGTTTATGTATGATTATATCCAGCGTATTCATTCGTGAACGTTTTTGTTTGTTAACAGTTTTGATGTGGAAAATGGAGCCGGCACAAGTCCAGGCAGATCACCACTGGACGGTGGAGGCACATCACCTTCGGCCGGTCTGGTTCTTCAAAATTTACCACAGCGCCGGGAATCGTTCCTGTACAGGTCCGATTCAGATTTTGAAGTTTCACCGAAATCCATGTCCAGGAATTCGTCCATCGCCAGTGAAAGGTAAACAATTATCATCATATTATCACCTATAGGTATTAAATTTTTACAAATCTGTGACTTCGATAGGCATTACACGAGTGACATATTTTATTATTTTATTAAACTATTGTATTATCAAAAGATATTATTATTATTATTTTTTTTTTTTTTTTATCAGACGACTAACAAAAATGTGTTGCAATATCGCATTTACCGATTAGGTCCACACACAGGAACAGCTAGTATGCTGTCCTACAGTGTTATCTGATTGCTTATAACTCGAAAAATATTTATTCTTTTTTGTTTTGTACAAACAGGTTTTATATCAGGGAAACACAAATGTAGAAAAAAATTAAATTATAATTTTCATTCATTGATCACTGAAAATATATTACTTTTTACTTTTTCACTTCAATTTTAAAAATAATCAATTTGTAAAGAATATTATTACAAACGATTTTAATGTATCATACATTCATATTCGATCAACAGTTTTTTTTTTAGTAATAATCGTTTTAGTATTTAGAGAATGATGTGAAAACGGGACTAACGCGTTGCGCGATAGGAAATCATAGTCGCAATACAATAGCTGGGTACCTAATAATAAAACATTAATGTTAAAAATTAAAACAGCTATTACTAATAGACCATTGATAGGATATGAATGTATGATACATGAACATTTTTTGAATAATATATGTACTTTACAAATTTACTATTTTGAACATTTTAAAAATTGAATGTTGAGCTATTATGGCATTCAGATAACACTGTAGGACACCCTGTACAGCATTTTTATTTGAGTGTGCATAAAATATTATATTATAAATATTATTATAATAATACAAATTATAGTTAATTTGGGAACTATCGCAATTCGTATTTAAAATATCGAAAATCGTAAACAATTTTCAATGTAAATTGATTTCGATTCGCAGGTCGACTTTTTAATCGAATTAATTTATACCGTTATATTTTTTTAAATTCTCCGCTCGTTGAAAAAAAAACCTGAACCAGAATCGCGTGCCGACGTGAAAATATAAATTCCGAATTCGCTAACTATTGCAGAATTGTTTCCAAACACCATCGTTTATATTTGTATTTTAATGAAGTGTGGAATTTGATTATGAACTATAATAAAAACATTTAGCGCAACAAATCGAAACGAAAATTAAAATCATTATTAATAATAAGTTTAACAATTCCTGGACTAGATAGCAAATTAATTTATAATTGGTTTTTAGTGAACCGGCAATCGTTATTAAATAGGAAATATGTTCGTAAACGTTTAAAACTGCGGCACTAGAGACTTTTTTTAAAATTAAAATTTTCTCCGAGTATTCGGGACGATCAATATCGCCGGCGTCGGCCCTCAGCGATAAACACCATTTTTCTTTTATTCAACCACCGTATTCAAATAAATTCGAAATAACAATAAAATACTTATTATTATAATAATATGTACAAGTGCCTTTACACCGTGGAATTCCAATGAAACCCGTGAAGGAAACCCGACAATACGAATTCATTTGCGCCGCCGTTGTGTTATACAGGGCGGAAAGAAAATCGCATAGTCTCAAATATAAGATATGCAGATGTTCTTACTCGCAGTGTATTTTAAATAATAACTGTGCGTGCCACGTCAATCTAGGGTTAAATTTGACCACCAAAAATATTATCGCGGTGAAATTATGAAACCGTAGATATTAAGTACTCCAAAAATATAAAGAGTGTTATACTACCTACTTTTTGTGTCAAAACGATGTGCTCGATATTGCATACTATGTTTGAAATATTCATATGAGAAGTCTGGGTGAAATTCGATGGTGAATTTTCAAAATGTTTTGAAACCGTACAAAACGAAGGAAATTTTATTAAAAAATCGCAACAAAAAATTGTATATAATTCACCGAGTACATAAATATCGTTACATTATTGATATATATATTTTTTTTTACCACTCTGTATAATATTCTCTAGAGGCTTATTATTATACATGTTTCTTATTAAAAAGAATAAAACTGAAAAAATGTATTTTCAACATAACGGGAAATATGTTAGATTTTCGATTTGCTGTGTTGCACTGAATTGATATTTTATTTAAAGTGTTTTAATAAAATATAATATTTTCTATATCTAAATATATAATGATATATAACTTAATTAACTCTTATCAAATATCAAATAGATAACCAGGGATGGACTGGCTAGTCAAGCAATGGAAATTTTCCAGATAGCCTGGATCGTATTAATATGGCAAAATAGCTTGATATTTTACTTACACATATTATTTAAAAACTCAGTAAAATGAATGTCAAGCCACATATTAAATTCTTTTTTATTTAGTAGGCATCTATTCAATTTTTTTCTATACATTTTTATTTGAGTTATTTATTAATTTATTTATTTACCAACAAAAAATCGTGTAAAAGAGATAACATGCATTATTACATGATTGGTCTACTCAATAAAACCTGTGGCCGTAGTGTGAGTAGGGTTCAGATATAACATAATAATAAAAATATTACATAAATATACCTAAAAATTAAATTTAAATATATATTGATTAAATCACTTCTCTATTTTTTTTTTTGTGGTGGAGGAAAATTACCCACTCCTTATCTACGCCCACATCGAAAATAAAAATATATTTAGCTCCCCTCAATTGAAAATCCTAGTTTCGCCTCCGGTTCAAATATGGGAAAAATTAGTTTGATAGGTATGTATTTTATCGGGTGGTCTGCAAACATTTTAATAATTTGATTCCCACTCCATCTCTGTAAATAATGCACCAACCGCGGTATATAATTTGACCATTGAACGGTCGATCCTCAATCGTCAAAAGTTCAGATAATTTTTTTTTTTTACAAAAGTTAGAGGCAAATGCATAGGCATTATAGGTAAAGTTTTAAAATTTCATGTTTTTAAAATATTTCATGAAAGTTTCGTAAAATAATTACTTTTGAGGAAAAATAAAACAAATTCATATAATTATTGTTTAAAATTTTAAACTTGAATAGTAACTATAACAGACATCTATTTAAGACACTGAATAATCTGTACGTTTTTAAAAGTTGTTAACAACAAATTGGGAACATTAGAATAATTAATTAATTAATAATAGTTTTAATAAAAATAGCTCCATCAGTTTTAATTTTTAACATAATAAATATTCGTTTGATACGGCAGGATGCCAATTTCAATAAAAATATAACATTTAAAATGAATCCAATATTACAATGCTACTATTGTGACTTAACAATACATAGTAAAAAACCAAACTGAGAAACAACCAATATTGAAGAAAAACAATTTTAAATGGTATACTTCATACTCATAGTTGGATCTCGGGAATTATAACACTTAAAAAAAAAAAAAGTTTAAAAACGTCAAGAAAGCTCTGGAAAAATCACTTGAAAAATATTTAAACAAAAACTATAGAAGGGTTTATATACTCCCCTCTAATGACTGTAACTTATGAAGAGCAATTCTCTAACGCTACATTATTGACTCGAAGTTATTTTTTTTTTTTATAATACATACAGTTGTTTTTAATTAAAATTATTTTTTGTTAATTATATCGTGTTAGAAAATTGTATTGAATAATTTAGAGTCGTTGGCCAATGGACCTTTAAACCTCTCTGTCATTTTTTTAATATTTTTTTTGAAATGTCGGGGCTTATTGTCATATTTAAGCGCAATTTATTCCGAGCCCTACTCAAAACTTTACCTAAAGTTTTATAATAAAGCACCCCTTGTGGGTACAAGAGCCACCGCAAATTTGGAATATAAACAGCAACGGAGAACACTTTTAAGATTGAATTACCCAATAAAATTAAATATAAACCGACGTATAAGTATAGGGTACTTAGCACACGCATGTTATTATGTAGTTTTTAATTACAACTTACTACTAGTTGAATTATAATACCAATTCCTATACCTACGTGGTTCGAACCGAAATGTTGTAATCGCATTAAAATGTTCCTATATAATACAACTACCTAATAATTATAAAGTAGAATATAAATCTTTGTACGTTACAGTAATAATATATTATAGTTCCAATACGATTTAAATCTCAAAACTCAGAATTAACGAGTTAAAAGTTCAGAACCGTTAAAAGTCTATAGTCGATTTTAACTTTACCAACGTAACTTTTGACCTTTAGTTTTTCATTACTTTTTCTTTAACTTAATTTTTCTAGATTAACTCAATAATACAAACTGACGAGCTGGTTTTGAATTGTGTACCTACGTAACAAGTTAAGAAAATTACAATTTCTTTAGATTTTAACACAATATTAAATTTCTACAGCTCAATCTACGTATTTTTTCGAATATTAACACTCAATTTTACGCAGTAAATAAAACAATTAACTTTTAATGCGTTAACTCATTAGCTTTTTTTATTTTAATTAACTTAACTCGCCCGGATTAATATTATTCATCAATTTATCCAGGTAGTTGAATTTTGACTAAAATGATCTGAGTATAATATACCATACACAAAATATTACAATGCATACACAATTATAATAAATAATAAATATAATAATTCTTTAATATATTTGATTTAAATTGTTAATTATTATATTGTTGTGTAGGTATACTTATCTAAAGACTCGATCGTATAATTATCAACATTTCGAAATTGAACATTTTAAGGTGTACTCAGTTGATTTTGGACAAAATTACCAACAAAAGTTGCACAATAATGCACGAACGTCTTTAGCAAAATCCGTTCAACCGATTACAATCAACAAACGTAGTGAAAGACTTTTCAGAATAGGTGGTTTTTAAAAAATGAAAAAATATAAACGTACTTCCGGCGTCGAGAACTCATTATTCCACTCAACTAAAATGATAAATAAATGACCGAAAAATAATTGTATAGCCTCTAAAATTTACTGAAGGCGTTTTACGATTTAAAAGACTACCAGCCTATAAGTATAATAGTCTTTGATTTTACTTCAGATTCTTACTGTTGTGTGCTTCTTCATTTAATTCTCGTGAGTTTCAGCCT